GGGTGGTCTTGGGGTCAGGGAGCCTGGGGGGCTCCCAGGAGACCCCCCTGGTGCCTGAGGGCATCTCAGAGGGTTCCTTGCCCTTGGAGAGGTCCCATTTTTGGGGTTCCAAGGGGGTCCCCATGGGATGTGGGGCTCCCAGGAGACCCCACTAGCCCCTGAGGGCATCTCAGCGGGTTCCCTGCTCCTGAGGGTCCCATTTTTGGGGTTCCAGGGGGGTCCCCATGGGATGTGGGGCTCCCAGGAGACCCCACTGGCCCTTGAGGGCATCTCAGCAGGTTCCCTGCTCCTGAGGTCCCATTTTTGGGGTTCCAGAGGGGTCTCCATGGGATTTGGGGCTCCCAGGAGACCCCACTGGCCCCTGAGGGCATCTCAGAGGGTTCCTTGCCCTTGGTGGAGTCCTGTTTTGGAGTTCCAGGGGGGTCCCCATGGGATGTGGGGCTCCCAGGAGACCCCACTGACCCCTGAGGGCATCTCAGAGGGTTCCCTGCTCCTGAGGGTCCCATTTAGGGGTTCCAAGGGGGTCCCCATGGAATGTGGGGCTCCCAGGAAACCCCCCTGCTGCTTGAGGGCATCTCAGAGGGTTCCTTGCCCTTGAAGGTCCCATTTTTGGGGTTCCAGGGGGGTCCCCATGGGATGTGGGGATCCCAGGAGACCCCACTGACCCCTAAGGGCATCTCAGAGGGTTCCTTGCCATTGAAGACCCCATTTTGGGGGTTCCAGGGGGGTCCCCACGGGATGTGGGGGCACCCCAGAGATCTGGGGACACCCCAGCGCGCCCGGGGGCGCCCCGCTCACCATGTCGGTGCCCAGGTCGATGCAGAGGATGGTGATGGTGCCCAGCGGCAGCGGGATGTTGGCCATGATGAAGAGCAGGAAGGGSGTGATCTCGGGGATGTTGCTGGTCAGCGTGTAGGCGATGGACTTCTTGAGGTTGTCGAAGATGAGGCGCCCTACGCGGCCGGGCGGGGAGGAGGATGAGGAGGGTGCCCCCCACCCTGGACCCCGCCCCCGCCATGGGTGCCCCCCACCTTCCTCCACGCCGGTGACGATGGAGGCGAAGTTGTCGTCGAGCAGGATCATGTCGGCCGCCTGCTTGGAGACGTCGGAGCCGGCGATGCCCATGGCGATGCCGATGTCGGCCTTCTTGAGCGCCGGCGAGTCGTTCACGCCGTCGCCCGTCACCGCCACGATGGCGCCCTGCGGTGGCACGGGGGGACGGGGAAGTGACSGGCGCCAGGGACAGGACCCCATGGGACACGGGCACAGGGCAGTGCCGGGCACAGGGCACTGTGGCACAGGGGGCAATGCCAGGCACAAGGGATGGGACAACTTGGGGCATGGGGACAGGGCAGGAGGTGGGGCACTGTGAGGCGCAGTGCCAGGCGCAGGGGACAGGGCACCACGGGACATAGGGACAGGGCATTGGGCACCATGGGACACAGGGCCAAGGCAGTGCCAGGCGCAAGGACAGGGCATTG